TTAAATCATCATTCTGACTTTCAGGTAATTCAATGTCTATGTTGATACTGTAGTCATTTTTAGTTTCAAAATAAACAGGTTTGCAGCTATTGCTACACAGCTATCATTATCTTCAACCACACACACTTGAACAGTTTCCCCTTTTCTTTAAAGACCACCATGATGAAAGTACTTCTTTTACATATTAATATGACACAGCCTATTCTTTCCGCGAATTTTAATTACATAATCGACACCATTCCCTTTGCATTTAACAACTGGCTAATGATCAAGGCACTGCATAACTAATTTGTTACTGCTAGAAGGCAATCATACAATACAGACAATCACCTATGTCTAATTTATGAAGCTTAGCTTTGAGGTCATACTATGACTTATAGTTGTGGTTACTTATTTCAGCTTGCTAATTCATCAGTTTCTTCCAAATGCAAGCAAAGACAAAAAAAAAAAAAAACTATTGATACGTAGTTTTAACCTCACTATCAGTACTATCGTTTGTCCATAGCTCGTGCAGAATTCTCAAAGGACGGCGTACTTGTCGGCCATAAAACAATTCAAAGGGTAAAAACTTAAGGATGCCATTAGTAATCTCCCTATTTGCGAACAGTGTTGCAGGTATAAAACGATCTCGGGTGATCGGCACAAAGCTTTTTAAGCACTCATCATATTAAATCATTTAATCTTTCGATTGCAGTGTTACACAAAGCATGATAGGGACTCGTGTACAAGACTCTTCCAGAGTGTTATCTATGGATTTCACCCATTAGATCTGACTTAGATTGAGACCCTCGATGTGATAAGATTTCCCTCGGTAAAATAGTTCCGAAATTATGGGAGATTTTTCGTAGGTAGTCTTCTCACACTTCCTTCAGCTGAAAATTTCAGTCAAGTTGGACATGATCGACCTAACTTTTAATCTGAGCACCTGCACCGGGCCAAAAGAACATCTTTCTTGTGAGAAATGAACAGCTGTGAGGGAATTGTGAGAGATTCAATGCGTGAATCCGATACTTCTCGGGAATTACCAGTTGCTTGCTCCTGATTTAAGATTCATGTTTGCTTTTTAAATACTCCCTGTAGATGAGATCATTGACAAGTTCATATTTTACAGATTTTACATTTACATTTTTGCCGCTTTTAATGTTCTCCCTTATGAATCTTAGACTTGGACAGTTTTGTTGTTCCTGTTTTAGATGATTTTTAGTTGTATTTAGATCTGAGAATTCAGGGGAAGGTAGTGTCATAATAGATTTGGACTGAGATTAATGAGTTTCAACAGCCACAACAATCGTGGTGTCGTGATCAGATTTGCAATACAATATGGACACAGGAGAAATTACAGCCATAGCATAATTAGAACAACGAAGCGAAACAACAGCACTGCAAAAGGCATGAGGAAGAAGTGCAGACGAAGGCACCTGCGCAGGGCAGCATGGTTAAATATATAACCACCATACAAATTGTGAGAAAAAAAAAACAAGAAAAGAAGCATTTTAAACACTTAGGAATAAGGCACAAATAGTTGCGCAGAACGACAACGGGCGGAGTGTAGGGGATAATTGCCGCGAGAGCGTGGATGCGCACCTGGGGGAAGTATGCCACAGACACACCTGAGACAGACAGAGAGAGGGCAGTCTGGGGTTCGCCAGGAAGGCAAATAGTCGCATTTTGTGTTTTTGTAACGGACTCCCTTCGACAGTGGATTTTAACAGTGACCTAATTATATTGGTTCGTGCGTATGTACACTCCCACTCTCCCAGTAAAACACCACTGGTGTTTCACCCTTTTATTTTTTTCCGATTTTACTTTCTGTTCTTTATGTTTGTCTTCAATAAACTGAAGTACTCTAAGAGAGAAACATTTAGAATTACAAAGGCTATATGACTCGGCAGTAGTGGGCCAAACAATGTGTTCTCATGATACACAAAGTGATATTTCTAAAGAAATAGCTGATGAACGAGTCTTTATATGCAAATGTACTAAGTACTTTCTTTATGCACATGGGCACACGTATGCTTACACGTAATTATTTTCGTGAGCTCTCACGTACACACGAATAAGCCCTTACATAGTTACCCTTGTTCACACGTACGTGCACACTTACACGTACACGGATGTACTCATACAAGTACACATGCATATACCCATATATTCCCACACTCGAACACCCGCACACATGCATGCTTACCCGTACACGTACACACATATACATGCACACGTCCACGCATGCGCGCACGTCCACGCACGCACGCACACACACACAAACACACACACACACACACTCTCTCTCTCTCTCTCTCTCTCTCTCTCTCTCTCTCTCTCTCTCTCTCTCTCTCTCTCTCTCTCTCTCTCTCTCTCTCTCTCTCTCTCTCTTTCTTTCTACGTATACATACACCCACACGCTCATGCAATAGGAAGGTGAAGGTGAAGATCTTTGCGTATTCATACTGATGATATTGTGCAGTAAAAGGCTAGTCGCACCAGAAAAGACCCGAAGGTAAATTATTCGTGTTTTTATGACATCTTGTCATAAGCGTTTGGGTTTTCTGTTTATGATTGCCTCAATAATTAGTTTCCCTTTTCAACCAATTGCCTTAACCTAAATCGGACCACAGTGCTACCACAAATGAAAGAAAATATTTAGTGATATAATGATATGTGAATATCGGCGACTTTCTGTCGTAGAGTTCGCACAATTTAATTGTACCTGAGGCTAACATTTATAACTGAGGTAACCGCGACAGTGGGAATACTAGAGTCATGACAGCCGTCGAGAACAATTAGTGCATCCGAAAATTTGATTGGTGCTGCAACCGCACTAATCCATCCTGTGAAAATTCTGCTTTTAATGAAACATCTTCCTTCAGGGAATGAATTTGGAATGCTAAGATAACCATACCCTTTGAATACAGGACCGAAAATAATCTTGATGGCAACAATACAACAGCCACACAGCTATTTACAGTATAGTCCTGTGACCGTAACTAACTGTTTAGTTCTTTATGGTGTGTTTTACTTTTGTAAAACCCATCTTGTTGTTTCGGTTATTTTTCTCTGTGTTTCGCTTATTTTATGATTTTTATAATTTTTAACAGTTTTTTCCTGCCTTGCCTGTTTATCATTTTAATATACATATATGTATATATATATATATATATATATATATATATATACATATATATATGCATATATACATATATGTGTATATATGTATATATGCACATATGTATATATATACATATATACACGATTATGCATATATATACACATACATATACATATATATGTATTTATGTATATGTATGTATGTATATATGTATATGTGTATATATATAAATGTGTATATATAAGCATGCTGTGTGTATAAACATATACATGTATATGTACATCTACATATATACATAATTGTATATATACATCTACATATATACATATATTCATTAGTATGTATATATGTATTTATATACGTATATATATATTTATATATATACATACATATACATATATACATACACATATAGATAGATTTATATATATACATATATATGTATGTATGTATATATGTGTATATATATGTATGTATGTATATATATATATATATATATATATATATATATATATATATATATATATGTATACATATATGTATTCATATATACATATGCATACACACACACATATATACATTTTTTTTTTTTACGCATATATATACGTGTGCGTGTGTGTATTTCACGCACACCTATGGAGTATGTCATACACCGCAGTAGTATACTCCAATTATAAATTGTTGTATGGTCAAACCTCAGGATATAATTACGAATTATATATGTTGCAACAATTAATCCAATTAGGCGACTGGCACATTAACGAAACAGTGATAACAATTACTGTTTGTAATTTGTTGTTTTTAATTTTATTTGTTATCAGGGTGCAATACAAATCCAGAAGTTTTCACAGCTTGCACGAAGTCACACACACACACACGCAAATATACATACATATATATATATATATATATATATATATATATATATATATATATATATATATATATATTATATAGTTATATATAGTTTATATTAACAGTCTTTCAGCAAAAAACACTTGTGATCATTAAAGGGACCATGCCCTCACTTTCCTACGCAATGATTTTCGTTTTAATGATTAGTGAGAAACAATAATTATTTTTTCGTTATCGATTTCATAGCCATCGTGTCTAAAGTCAGGAAAATAAATGCAAATAAAAAATTCTGAAATAATAACATAACACTTAAGATAATATTTCTCAACCTATCCCTTCTTTTGCATATATATATATATATATATATATATATATATATATATATATATATATATATGTATATACATATATATATATATATATATATATATATACATATATATACACATATATACGTATATAAGCATATATACATATATAAATACATATACATACATATATACATCTCTCTCTCTCTCGCTCTCTCTCTCTCTCTCTCTCTCTCTCTCTATATATATATATATATATATATATATATATATATATATATATATATATATACATACAAATATATTCAATCCCGCGGTTTTTCAACGTTGTACAGTATGAACTATATGTAACAGGGTGGTGATCACGATATATATATATATATATATATATATATATATATATATATATATATATATATATACATGTGTGTATGCGTGTTTGTGTATGTGTATACATACATATATATAAATATATATATGTATATATGTATATGTATATGTATATGTATGTATACATGTATATACATATATATGTATGTATGTATATATACATATACATACACACATACCCATATATATGTGTGCCTGTATCTGCCCGGGTGTGTGTGTCTTTAAATGAGAGAGCTTCTGATCATTACTTTATTGTTAAAGGCAGCCTGTGTCCCGCCCACGCCAGCATGAACACGTGTCGCTTACAGATGTTGCCCCGCGCGCGGCTGGCGTTGGTGCTG